ATTTCGACAGTAAATAAAAATAAATAAAACTAAATAAAATGGCATACATAAAGGGAATCTGATATACTATAATGAATGAAAAGAAAATCTTCTTTTTTTTACAATTTTACATATTTCCTAAAATAAACTTGGATCAGAATTTCTAAAAAAATTTGAGATCTACATTGTTTATAATCATCCAAAGAATTAATCATTTTTCTATAGTATAATTTTTAAAAAAATTTTGTCTGCAAAAGAATTTTTTTTTGTTTTGTTTGTATTAGAAAAAAAAACGCGAAACAAAAAAATAATTATTTTGCAATTGAAAAAACGGGAATTTTTTCGAATCATTTATGATAATGGTATGGACTTAACCTAGTAATATTTATTTATTCGAATTTTAATTGGACCGATTTTTCATATTGCAGAATATTTTTATTTTGACATAAAAATAATTTAAAAAATATATATTAATTTTAATTGGCCTGAAATTAAAATTTTAATCTACTTATAATTTAACAAAATTTTTGTTTCATCTGGCAGATTTCTTAAGTGGTCGAAATTTAATATGGCCGAAGTTGAAAATGTTTGTAAATCGATTCGCCTCGAAATTGGGATCTACGCTTGATTATTTCAAACTTTGATTAAATTAAAATTCAACAATTGAAGTATAATTCTGACAAATTAAAATTCCATCAATATAAGAATTTCTATCATAATATGTATTAAATTTTCATCACGTAAAAATTTTACAATAGAAAAAAACAGTATAATGGAAATTCTGCTTAACAAATTATTCGAAAACAGAAAAATTTGCAAAACAAAGATTTATTCTTATTATTGATTGATCGCAAAATGAAAATTCGATCCTAATGAAATTGTGTCAAATTCAATTTTGACCAAGTAAAAATTATACAATACATAGAACATTGGGTAAATAGAATGACGTAAAAAAATAGTTGAAGAAATAAAAACTCTTAAGCTAAAAGTATAATTTATAGAACAATATATCAAATCGTTATTACTTACCGTTTTTCTCTAACGAGTACAATATTTTTTTACATTCCTCGTCAACAACATACTGGCCGTCCTCTCCAACATAGCTGCAAATAATAATTTCCTCTTTGTTTCCACTCATTATTTATAAACAAAGCCAACACTTGCCGCACTAGGAAATTCTTATAAACGTGATATAAACGTTTGTGCAAGTCGAAGCCGGCAAATACAACAAAAACTTTAAATTAATTTCCGATGGAACAATCGGTCATTGGGTAGAATGACGAGTTAAAATTAAAGCCCAATTCACATGCATGCAATTTCACCGTTTTGGCAAAACGCGTTTGAGCACCCCTTTTAACTCTAGAATTACTCCAGAGTTAGTCCCGAAAACACCCAAAGTTAACACAATTAATAAGTTACCAATTTAAAGTTGACGTAATTCCGTATCCAACAATCCGTATTTTGGGGGGTTTTCGTTTAATAGAATTTTAATTAAAAAATGCTATGACAATCATATGTTTATTAAAAATCTATTCAACAAAAATACTTCAAATGCGGCTGATTGTATGCGAAATTACGTTAGCTTTCAAATGGTAACTTTAGTTGGATGGAACATTTAAGGGGTCTACCCACTTTAGACGCGCTAAAATGAAGGCTGTTTTCAAGAATTTTTCTAATTGGTTTATATTATAAATATTGACATATAAGTTGTTAGACTAAAGAAATACACTTCCGAAATACATGAAAAAATTTTTGTTATTTGTTTTTTTAAAATTTTATATGCATGCAAATGGTAGTTGAAAAAAAATCCCCCAAAAAAGATGTGTCCACGCTGTTGATGAAATCTCTGACATGGATTGTCCGAAACCAAAAAATCAAAAAGTTTTGGATTCAGTGTGGTAATAGCTATTGCGCATATCAAGGGATTTTTTATTTTTGCAAAATTGACAAAATGGCGGACATTTTTCGAAAAAACTAACACACGGTTTTCTTTAATTTTTCGAAAAATGTCCGCCATTTTGTCAATTTTGCAAAAATAAAAAATCCCTTGATATGCGCAATAGCTATTACCACACTGAATCCAAAACTTTTTGATTTTTTGGTTTCGGACAATCCATGTCAGAGATTTCATCAACAGCGTGGACCCATCTTTTTTGGGGGATTTTTTTTCAACTACCATTTGCATGCATATAAAATTTTAAAAAAACAAATAACAAAAATTTTTTCATGTATTTCGGAAGTGTATTTCTTTAGTCTAACAACTTATATGTCAATATTTATAATATAAACCAATTAGAAAAATTCTTGAAAACAGCCTTCATTTTAGCGCGTCTAAAGTGGGTAGACCCCTTAAGTTTTTATTAACATTAATTAATTAATAACCCGAAAAAATCAAATTCTCATTTTTTTGTACTTAAAGTACACATTCTAAGCTTTAAAAATACAAAATAAAATTTTTTTAAAAATGCTGATTTTAAAAAAATAGAGTCAAATTTTGAGATTAAAAAAAAAATTTATTCGAAAGATGAGGAAAATATATTTCAAAAATGTAAAAGTAAAAAATTTTGTATATTATATTTTTATTACATTCTTTATAAATCATAATTTTTCTTTATATTTATACATAAAACATTAAGAGAATATATGAAAAATGAAATAGAAATATGTTCCATTTAATTATTATTATGAATATAATATACAAAATGTTTAAGAAAATTTTTATACTTTACATTTATAATTCAATTCTTTTAGAATATTATCATATACGTACGATAAAGTAACATAGTATACAGGGTGATGAAAATATACCGGAAACCCTTACAAATTTTTGTTTTTCAATTTGACTTTTTCTACATGTAAAAACGAAAAAAATTAATTTGGAAAAAATTTTTTGTATGACTCCGGTACATTTTGATCTCTCTATATACGGTAGTAAAGTAATGAACATTTGAGAATCTACACTATAACATTGATTGAGGTCATTGGCATTGACATAAACAAGACACACGATGTGAAAATTTCCTAAATTCATTTTATTCACCTTTCGACTTCAGTAGGAAGCGGATCAAAGTGCTTCCTAAAATATCGGACGATGTGGAAAATAATAAGTTTGAATTTTATTCAACAAGACTGTTGAATAATATTAAATTACAAGACTCGACATTGTGAGTAATTTAACATTCTTTATCCTTTAATTGTATTGTATCTTTATTTCTTTTACAAATATAAGAGTGCAAACTTCTTTCACGATAATGTTTCATTTTTAATACAATTACATTTACAATATGCATGCTTTATAATATTTTTCATACATATTTCTTAAATTTTCGTCTTTTTAAATAATTCTGAAATTAATTCATAAAAAGAAATTTTAGATTTTTAACAATTTTATTATGATTAATAATTCCTGTTTAAAAATGGTATCATTGTCTTGGCATAATATATAATTTATAACAAGTATTTTATTTTTCAGCGAATTAATTGTATACGTTGAAGAATTAAGCGCTCTTGTAGTAGTAGGCAAGGACGGAAATTTTTTACTACAAATATGCATTCTCAACAATAATGATGGGGAAAGAATTGTATTAAAAATTTGGAATCAGCAAATTGAGCGTCTCAAAGAATATTTCTCTCCAAATTATGTAAGTATTTGCTTCCGTATTTAATGCATATTTTATATTTATTAACTAATAATATCATGTGTCATTTTCTTTAGAGTTATATGGATTTCATTTGTAATATTGACTTTAGCAATTTGAAAGTAACCAGCTTTAAGAAACTAATAATTTTTGTAAAATCAAAAGAAAATTGAATATACACATTTTTCATTGAATTAAAATATTTATAATATCAGTAAAAAAGATTTCCATTTTATTTTATAAATTGATTATTTACCTAGTCACAATTTCTCAATTAAAATGACGTTAATTTCATGTCACTTTTTATTATTATGGTAAATAATCTAAATTTTTTGATGTTAACAATATTTGAGAGATAAAATTTTGAAATAAATACTATTTGTGTTTATATTACATAATGATGTGAATATTATCTACTAATTTATTATGTTCTATACAGTATATATACAACATTTAACCTCTTCTCCGTTATTGACCTCTATAGAGGCATAAAAATGTCGTGCCACCAGTGTGTATGACCGCTATAGTAGCATCTAAAAAAAATAAGTAGACACAATACGATAAATTATCGATCGTTTACTTTATTATTTTAATAATCGTTTACTTCATTATTTTAACAATACGATAAACTTGTCACTGGGTTTTTTTTACTATCAAGTTTTTTTAAAAAATTTTTTCCCACATACGGGGCACTGAAGCTTTATTTTTGCTACACTGCGAAGGAGTTAAGAATCACATCAAAATGACGTTAAACTGACGAAAATATGTATCTTTCAAAGAATATTCGATTACAAACTAAATATATTTGTTTACCTATAGTTATACTATAAACTTAACTCGTCTAAATATAGGTTTTTTTAAATTAAAAATTTCTACAAACTTACAAAAATTAAGTTTTCTCTCAATTCAGATTAATATAATTTTCTTAGTTAATAGTAAAGTAAATTTTAAGTGAAACTTAAAATAATTAATGAACATTACATTAAAGTTGATTTAAAACCAAATTAACATATCATTTTCACATAAAATAATGTTTTTTGTATTTTAAAATGAAACAAATACTACGCTTGGATGCTGTGGCTTCCAAAGATATAAAGAATACAAAATATCACAAAGGAAACCTTAACTTTCAGCTTGTAACGAATTTACCGTTCATACACTTTAAATAAAAACCAAAATATAAACTCAATAGTATAAAATAAGAGAATTGAAATATTCATACAAAATTTTAGCAAAAAAAGAGAAAAGTACATAAATTGGAGAAATAAAATACAATTTATGAGGTCATAAAAAAATAACATATATATATATTATCTTAGTCACAAAAAAAAAGGATTCTATAAAATAACGAAATCCCGAGACGCGTCTTTCATCATTTCAACGGAATTACGAATTCGATCCGGTGACAAATTATACAATAATCGAAAACAAGAAATAAATCAGACTTAATTGAAGACAGAAAAATGTAAAACATAAGCTGAAAATTATCCAAAGGGGCAATGAATAAGGATAATTCGGATTAATGTCAAATATAATGAATAATGCGTATCAATTAAAATATATATATATATATATAATCAAACATAAATGATGGGGAATTTCATAGATAAAATTAGGGACAAAAAAAAAGAAAACACAAAAAAACTTATCGAGTCGGTGTATGATCGTAGGATCGGTAGTGTCGAGGTAGACCGGCTTCGGAGGTGGTGAGGGCTGCGCCGATGGAGCTTCGTCATAAATATCGTTCAAATTTCTCTTCTCATCATTCGCGCCAATAATCCCTCAATTGCTTATCGGTACTAAGAATTTCAGTGATTCAAATAATGAAATAAGTCTTTAATTTCCATGCCTCTTTATTTCCGTCGGAATTAAAACCGCCTCGCACGCCGTCCTCAGAAATACGCAGCCACAATTATTAAATAAATCGCCACTCTATCGTGAAAAATAAAATAAACAAAGGGAATATGAATAAAAAAAGGGAAACTACATTATCATTTTTGCCACAAAACATAATAAAAAATTAAATAAAATTTTAAACAAAATACCTATGGGCTGTCGGCGACTCTCACAGAAATGGCGAAATACGTTTACTACATCGAAAGATTTTACAGTTTGAGGACGATTTTCGTGCGCGGGACAGTTTAATTATCTATTCAGAATGAGCCCACTCCTCGGCACAACCCCACCCTATCCACACCATCGATACCCTCATCGATCACTAACGATTATTTCCGAAAATTTTCACCAATCTTTAAATTTTATTAACTGATTTAAAATTATATATATACCGTAATCCCTTCAAGCTTGCTGCTCAATCAAATACAGAAAATAATGTATTAGGAATTTTTGAACCAATACCAAATACAAAAGATGCAGAATTTGGTAGTATGGAAAATTTAGGGTCAACAGATCCATCGAAATTAATTAGTAAGTATTTCCATATTATATATTTATTGAAATCATATTAACATATTTCTCTTAGAAAATATAGGCATTCAAATAAATTAAATTTGATTGTTCTCTAAAAAAGTAAAATTTCTTACTACAAAGATATTTTAATGTTTTTATTTTATTTTAATTATAAACACTAATAATTAATATTTAAAATTACTTGCAATCAAAATCAAAAACTTTTACTTACATCTCACTAAAGACCTTTTTAATTATATATTTCTTTCATTAATAAGTTACATTTTCCTTTACAAAAAGAATAATATAGATAAATTTTTCATTTTATAAAGAGCAATCAAATTTTTTTCCTGAATATTTGCATTTAACAAGATAAATATACCTTAAGTATATATGTAATGTTTTATTAATTATAAGGTTTTTCATATAAATAATTTCTTTCACAAAATTGCATTCATTTTTAAAAAAATTTTTATTTTCCATTAGAAACTTCTGCGTATGTGAAGAGCGCATTTAAAGTAATAAAAGACAAAAAAGGAAGTAAACTATTCGCTTGTGGATCCCTTATTGATGAAGTGTATCAACTAGAGATTCATATAATTCACTTCAAAGAAGAAGACCTGAATAAATTAAAAAAAGACATAAAATTGGAAATGTTCGGATTTATTAATTTCAGCAGTAAGTTCTTAAAAATATATTTCATCATTTTATTTTCTTCCTTATAATATATATGTAATATTGCACTCAAAAAATTTTCGATTTTTTTTAACTGTCAAAAAGTAGTTAAAAGATGTAGTAGATACAATAGGCGATTTTCACTTTGAAATTAATTCAAGGACACATTATTAACTGTTTTTGATTTATATTACTTTATTAATTTGTGGCTTAAATATGTTAATTATTTATCTTTTTCTCGTTAAATTTTATTTCTTAACATTTATAATATTTAAAAAGTTAAAAAAGTAGATTAAGAGTCAATAATAAACAACATTTCAATCGACTCTGTACACGAAAAATCAGTTCGACGACTAGTTAATACTAATATTGCCTGAACCGCATTAGTCAATTCTACTTTAGACTAGTCAATATTAGTATTGACGAAAGGGCATTGTTAAAACTAGTTTTGACTAGGCAATACTAATATTGACTAATTTTGGATTTTGACGGTAACATATATATTATTTTTGAAATTTTGTAGGTCCTACTCATTTCATTGTTAAAAGGTTTGAAGACATCATTAGAATAGAAGGTGAAATAAAGCAAAATGATTTTTTCAAAAAAGGATTCCAACGGATAAAAAGAAAAATATTTAATGATGGAAGAGCAGAACATACTGTTAAGAAGATGAAATTTTCTTAAATTCTATTTCTTATTTATTCGCACACTATCTAGGAATGATTACTGTGACAAATCTATGGAAAATTATTTATTTCTTTTATTTATTTATTTCATTTAAAACAGTATTTAAAAATACTGAAAATATAAATGATCAGAAAGTTTTTTTATCTATGACATTAAGATTCTTATTTATTTTTTTTTGTACTTCAAAGGACAATTTTTTTTCTTTAAAAATTATTATGATAATTTAAGTTTATTGTTAAAAGTATGAAACATTAGAATAAAATTGTACTTTTTTTGAAAGTCATAAGTAAAAATAGATGCACCGTTCTAATAAGTTTGTAAATAACTTGAAATTTATTATGATTTCAATCTATTGCTTAAAGCGTAAAACATTTAATGAACATTGCACATTTTTCACATTCATATTTGAAAATGGTCATACCATTATTATTAAGTTATTAAATATTATTATTTATTTAGTTTATTAACAACTTGCAAATTTATGTATAGTAATTATTAATAAAAAAAATATTTCATTCAATTACTATACAGAATATGAAAAACTTTTTTATACCTACAACAATTAAAGAATACTGTATTTCAAATAATAAGGTGGCTTCCATATATGACGTGACACTAAAAAAGATGGAGGCGAAGGGTCAAGCAATTTGTGACCACAGACTGAAAAAATGGCCCTAAGGTATTTAATAAATGTAATAAGAGGGTGGGGCACGGGGCAAAAATTATTTTTAAAAAACCCATGACATCATTTATAAAAACCGTCTTCTTTAACAAAAATAGTAATAAATATTACATTTATTAAAATGAGTACAAAGAATTTTATTGTAGTCTTTACCTATTTAACAATTAATAATTATTAGGGATTTTATAATTTTAATTAAACATAAATGATTAATGAATTATCATTTTTTAAAACCATACATTTTCTAAAGCTGAAAATTAATACAAATGTATAAACGTACAACTACATATGAATTCTATACAATTTTCAGTTCTTAAGCTTTTATCATCCAATCAGAAAAAATCTAACGCAGTTATAGCACAGTATTTCCTAATACCACGGTATTAACACACTTCAGCACTGACTTTTCCTTTTAACAAAAGATGATTTCTTTTATATAAAAATTAGTAATCCCGTTAATAAAATCTCATACTCATGGAGATAACTCAGAGCCGTAACTACGGTGTCTTCGATGAAGCCTCAGCAGTTATTATTTATTTAATATATAGGTAGGGTCCCGTAAAACATTTGGTTTCCCTTTGACGCACAATGAACTTATCCGTGTAACATTTAACGAAAATACAATTTAAAGAAGCTTATAATTCTTTTGATATTCAAAAATCTCATACCAGGTTGGAGAAATCTTCTGATCACTAAAGTTAAGCAACGTTGAACGCGGTTAGTACTTCGTCGAGTTACCACTTAGGAGTTTATCAAGAATAAAATTTAAAAAGTCAATGTTAGGACATTGGACGAAATATTTTAAACTTCATCATTTCAATCGACAGAATAAAAAATATTAGAAGTCAGACTACAAAAATTTGTTAAATGTTTAAAATTTTCACAATTAGGTAAAAAGTTTACTAACTAACAAATGAAGAATTTGATTCGATACAATTATTTGATCTCAGCGTGTAAGTACTTTTAATTCATGATAATTACTTTCCATTTGTATCAAATACACACAACACTAGTGAATACTTAAGTACTTCTAATATTACGTAATTAACAATGAATATCATTATTATTAATATCATATTATATATAATATGGAATATTTTTATAGTTCACAAGAAAAATTACAACTACGTTAAAAATATAAATAAAGAATAACAGGTATACTTTTAAAAAAAATTATATAAAATATATATATATATAGAGAGAGAGGGGGGGGGAAGTTATAAATAAACATTTACAAATGCATAATAAAGCGTTAACACATTTTTCGTGTATATTATGTTGCAAGATGACAGATTACAAGATTGTCATTTCTATTTAATAAATCAGTTTTTACAATATTTTGTATTTCTATTATACCTTTTTCTATTATTATAAAACATTTTTATTATCAAAAAATTCTTTTAATTGAACAAATTACATTAATTAAATTATTAATTATACATTTTTACATTAAAATATTCATTTCATTGGCTTCTATTCATAGCACTATTTTAAGTATTTTAATTATTACATATAATACACTGAACAACATAGAATACATGTACAAAAACAAAGGTCGAAACTTTTCTATTGAAATGTGTTATATCACTTTCTCTCTTATGTATCACTACTCCTTTTCAAAAGAAAAATTTAGCTTTGTATCTTTTATTTCATATGAGCCTCTGGCCTCTGACACCTCAAAAATCAACTTTTTTTTTTATTAAAGCATTAAAGAACCTAAATAGGTTTATAAGCATGCATGAAGTTTATATCTTTAAGTTACAATTATCCAGAAATTTAACAATAAGCTTGCACACAGCAATATTTGGTTTTGCTAAAAACATTTCCATGCAAAAAGGCAAAAAAAATTTCATTTTAAACAGTTTCTCACATAAAACAGTACGGTGAGGTACATATAGTTGACACTGCCAAACAGCATGATTTGAGCTTTAATTATATTGACCACATTTACACAAACTACTATTAACAATATTTATTCGAGCCAAAGATTCAGCGAAATTATAATGGTTGGCTCTACAACGATTAATTGTGACTATCTGTCTTCTAGTTAAAGATTTATAACTAAACCATAGTTTCTTAGCACTAGAGTAATAATTTTGAAAATAATTTTTGCCCTTAAAAAGGCCCTGTTGCAATATAATATTTGAAGACTGAGAGGATGACTTTTTCTAAAAAACTCGTATAAGTCAGTATAAGGAATCTTTACCACATCCAAACAATCTTTTTCAGTAGCCGATTTAGCTTGAAAGTCAGCTTCCTCATTTCCTCGGACTCCGATATGTGAAGGAACCCAAAAAAATTTTATAATGCTATTATTAGAATTATTATTAATAAATTTGACATATATTTTTTTTTATTTCAAAGATGTACGGATTGGTTTTAATAGTAATAAAACTGGATTGTAAACTTTGCAGAGCACTGAAAGAGTCCGAAAAAATGAGAGAGCTATGACTTCGATTCTCCAAGGCAATGTCCATTGCATCGCTTAAAGCCATACACTCAGCCGTAAAAACAAGCCTCACATGGCATACTCTTTTTAACACATTTATTCAACTCTGGACAAACACAGGCAGAGCCGACATACGCATGCGATGAGACCTTACTCCCATCCGTATAAATAGATATCGCATTATTGTTTTGTATAAGATCTTTCAATCTGTTATTTGGGTTAGAAAAACTATTAAAATCATTACCGAGACTGGTGTTAACTGGAATTGTTTTTTTTAAAACTTCATAATCTGAACAATACATATTATAATTGGAGCGGACGTCGACTGTGTTTAAAGTATTTAGTTTAAAAATTATATTATGATACAATAAAATCTTACGTTTTTGAACTTTACGTTTACATAGGTTAAAATAAGTATTTATCGAGCTAAAAATAATAGAATTACTATTTGATAAAATTTTAGCCATATAGCAGTCACACAAGTAAACAGAGCGGTCTTTCAACAACATAAGTTTAGATTCAGTCAACATGACATTCAAAGGAGTACTTCTACGGTAGCCAAAAGCTATTCTAATTGCACTATTTTGTATTGATTCAATTTTCTTTCTTGCTTTTTTAGTCTTAGGAAAATACAAACATGAGCCATAATCGACAATAGATCGCACATAGCTCTTATATAACATTATAAGAGTTTCTGGACTTGAACCCTACCAAGTACCACAAAGATATTTTATAATATTCAAGGCTTTAGAACATTTCTTAATAACATCATCAATATGGGGCAAAAAAGACATTTTATAATCCAATACAATACCAAAAAAACGAACAATAGTACTTCATTTAATTATATGATCTTTGACTTTAATTTGAACATTACCAGGAAGAATTTTCATATTGTTAAAGTGAACAAACTGCGTCTTAGACAAAAAAAATTCAAGCCCAAGAGAAAAAAGATTTTTATCAATTTTATCTACAGCCTTTGTCAGCATGCTAACACCTCTCTTAACAGTTTTAGCTTTGACGTACATCGCTATATCGTCTGCAAACTGAGAAACTACAACATTTTTATGCAAGTCTTCAGCAATACTAGAGACATAAATCAAGTACAATAATAGACTGAGAACTCCACCCTGAGGAACCCCCTTAAAAACCTTTCTTATTGCAACCTGAGTATATGCCGTATATATATATATATATATATATATATATATATATATATATATATATCTTACATGTGAAACAAACTTGAAAAAATTAATCAATTATAATGAACATCCAATAGAAACTAGCTTAGACAATAGAATATCAATATTAACGTTATCAAAGGCACCTTGCACATCTAGAAATGCAGCCAAAACATGTTTTTTTCAATAAATGCTTCATCAATCTTTAAAATTAAATTTGTCAAGTTGTCTATACAAGATCTACCCTTTAGAAAACTGTTTTGTGATTTAGGAATAAAGTTCTGCACCTCAGCCCACCACTGCAATCTGTTTTTAATTAAAGTTTCAAACAGCTTTAATAAACAGGAAGTAAGGGTTATAGGTCGAAGACCAATATTATCAGGTTTTTTGACAAAATGAATAAAGCATTCCCTCCAGCTTAGAGGATACTCTTCAGTTTGATATAGTGTATTAAAAATATCTAAAAGAATTAACTTGTATTTTATTGGTAATTTTTTTAATATGTCGAAGTCAACGCCATCCAGACCAGGCGAAGATTTAATCTTCTTACTATCAAGAGAAGCATTAAATTCGAAAAAGTCAAAAGGAGTATCAAAAAAGGCACTGTCTTGAGCCGGAGGCTGCCAATGAGTATCTGTTTGAACCCAAGGAGGACCTATTTTATTTAAGGATTCTTTAACCGTATTTTCCGTTTGCAAGTTTTCAGTAGTGTGGAGAGGCGAAACTTTAATCCATTTTGTTCAGAATTATTCTTTAATTAATTATCTTTTCTTTCTAAAAATGATGGTAAACTTTAGCGCCTTAACTTTGAGCTCCCGAATTACACACGTGAAATTTAATATGATTAATCCTGACCTGCGCGATTGAATTTCTTTTTTTTTTGTGTTCCCCTCTTTTTTCCCTTTTTCCAACTTTAGAACAACTATCGTGTGTACGCGAGTGAGAACTTTACTCCCAAAAAGTAATCCAAAATCATCGACGTTTTTTTGCTTGTTAAAGGTTTTTAATGATAAAAGTGTAATTGTATTCTCAATCAAGAATATTGTTTTTTGGAAAATAAATAAATTAACATTGTTAAATCAAAAGTGGACTCAAAATTATTTTGACCATGTGCCCGACAATTAATTAATAATAAAATAACCCTTGTTGCAAAA